TTTGCACAGAAAATTAAAATACAAAAAAAAACAGAAAAATCACAAAATACAAAGTAATAAAGATCAATTAGCAAAAACTAAAGGCTATGTTTGATTATACAAAGTCAAAATAAACTTCAACATCAACATTCACAAAAAATAAAAACCAACGGCTTCAAAATAAAAAAAAAAAAAAAGAGTATCTGGCATCAAGAAAGAAACTAAAGTAGAGTCAAAGAGAAGAGTTCGAAATCTGTAAAATAAATGAAATAAAACCTAAATTTCATTTGATATGATGTCTTTTAATTGGTTATAGCTATTCTTTTATTAAAAGTAATCTTATTTGAGGTACTGTCTGTCACTAAATGTAATCATTTATCTCAATGGGGATTCAAATTTTTATTTATTGTGAGAAACTAGCCCCTTACACTAAATTTAATCTTCATTAGTAGCAATAAAATGATATTAATTACCTGTTAGACAATTTAAATCATTAGCATTAGCGCTACATCATCATCCCATTAGGCGTGCTTAAAATAGAAAGACCAACATTGCAAGCAAGAAAAGTTATTAGGACCTAGGACCAAAAAAATACAAGAACTAATAACAAAACATAATAAAATTATAAATATCAATAGTTTTATTTCTCCTCTAATTTATATAAAAAATGAAAAATGAATGAAAAAAAATATTTAATACAATAAAAGTGATATCATTATTGTTATTATAGGAAATTTTTTTATTTCATTATCACATATTTAATATTATGGAGTCAATGCCAACGTAAGTTAGGTACAGCAGAAGCAATTAATATTTCATAATGTAACAAATTAAAATTTAAATCTTTACTAGAAGAAGCTAAATGCTTTCATTTAGTGCCTCATTATACCTCAAATATGATTGCGTCCAATAGAAATATTTTGTTCACAATAAAAAAAAAAGTTAAAGAGTAATCTTTCCCTTAAACTATAAATCCAAAAATGTCTAAGACCCTAAACTTATTTTAGTGCAATGTTCATTCTAACATTTTAAAAAATGGCTTCAAAAATTACCAAAAAGGACTCAAAAAATTACAAAGAAGTATCATATAAAAATTTATATTTTTTATAATTTTTGAAATCCTTTTATACAATTTTAAGGTTTTTTCCTATACTTTCTTAGTTAACTAATAGTCAGAGTTAACATTTGTTAGCTATAAGGGAGATATTGCACCATTTTAAAGATGTTAAAGAAAAATATTAAAATCCCAAACACTTTCAGACTAATAATTTAAGGACAAAATTACCATTTAACGTGAAAAAAAAAGTATTAGAATGAAGTTGAAACATGGTTGGGTTTGATTAAGATAATTCTTCCAACACAATTTTTTCTATTGATGAAAAAGAATTGGATTATGTCCACCTCATTTGGGCATCTTCAGTAGTTACAGGCAATTATATTTGTTAATATAAAAATTTAATAGTGAGTGATGCAAAAAGATGATCCTTTTGAAGGTTTTTCTTCCATATCTAAAAGGGGATGGGGTGGCATTGAGTAGATAGTATCATATGAACCTATCCATGCGGCCATTTATGATAATATACATATTTTGTACTTTCATATTGCATTTATGCACAATGGTTAACAATATTAGATCCCTCTTTCATCTCACATCCTTCCTTCCTTTTTTCCCCACCACAGTATCATATGGTTTATTAACATATCCACCAATTCAAGTTCGACAATTGTTGAACTTAATTCTCCTATTACAATTTTTATAGTTAAATTTAACAGAATCTTAAAGAGTATATGCAGACAACCTCTCTGATGTTTAAAAATCTTTAGTAAATTGACAGCAAGGTGTTCTCTATCTAAAATATATAAAAGTAGTTTATCTGCACGCGACTTTGAAAAATTATGGGGTTCTTTATTAGGTTTTAAAATTATAAGGTTATTTACATGTGGATTTCTGTATTTTAATTATGTTTTGTTTTTAGTTCGTATAACTTATTTTGTTATTATCATTCCCTTTAATTTGATCTACTTGTAAAATTAGTCTCTATAATTTTAAAAAAATATAATAATAACCATGAGCTGACACTAACGGAATTAATTTTGCTATGACTTTGCTAACCCCTCAATTAACATGGTAAAAATATACTAACGTGATGATAAATTGATAGGTATGATTAAAAATAAAAGGCAAGTGGCCAAAAAAAAACTTAATGTAAATTTGGATTAAACAAAATGTGAGAGATGAATGTAATATTAAGTACACATCAACAATAAGCTTAATAAAGTTTAGCATACATCAACAAAATTAACTCCATTGATGCCAACTCATGATTTCTATGTACATTTTTAAAATTATATTCTCTTTAATCCAAAATATAAGCAATTTCTTAACAATAATTTACATATTAATAAAGTCTTTATTTTCATGAAAGAAAAAATATTATTTTCCTTTTTTCCTCTTCGTTTCAATTTATAATGAGTGAGAAAGAGGTCATAAATTTACGTATATAAGAATTCAAATTAATAAATACAAGAGGCAAATGATTTTTTTTTTTTTACAGATACTAAGTTGCTCATATTTTAGATTAAGATTAGTTGAGAAAAAAATCTTATATTTTAAATCTGAGGGAGCAAAAATTAACATTACAGATGAATTAAACTAAAGAAATAGTCAATAATGAAATAAAAATATAAAAATTAAAAACAAAAAGTAATCAAAATATTTAAACCCATAGTTACATTTTTAAAAAAAAAAACAGTCGTGGCAAATATTAAAAAAGAGCTAAAGAGATGGGAGATCTCAGATATCCATCACTATCGGTTATGGTTTGGTGACTTGTCAAATTTCGAGTGGGGGCGCCCCGCCCAGCCAATAGTGCAAAACATGGGCGACAGTTGTGGGCCCTGCTACCATTAGCAGGTTGTAAGTGGACCGATGGCCCATACATAAGATATTAAACTGATCAAAATAGGTCCTATGTCTCACTTGCTTCTGCGGATTTTTAATTCAAACTAATTTAGTTAATAATTTGTGAACATTTCTTTGATGGGCATACCTTCCATCAAAAATTTATTCACTGCTGTGTATTCAAAGCTCAAATTTAAAATTTTTAGTTAAGCTAAATCAATCACTAACTAGTTGATACTACATTTTATGTGAGCTTTGTAAAAAATATTTTTAAAAGAGCTACTTTAATTAAATTTAACAACATTTGAATTTGATCAAATAAGATAGTTGTATAAAATAAAAGGTGTTTGGTGACTTAATCAACCTCCCAAACCTGATTATTGCGTTATTTAACATAAAGTTTTAGTGGTCAAAATACTTAACACAAAAATTTCAGTAGGTAAACATATACTACTTGATAGATCAAAATTTGGGCATAGTATTATGTCATATATTGAAGGAACTGGGAAAAGTTTTGAGTGTATAAGCAAGTCAGTTGCATACCCAACTGAACTAGCTTTTGCGAAAGAAAGTAATAATCTCATGATAAAGTGATATTAGAATTGGACTCAAGTATATCCAGTCTGTAAGTCCTTCCAATGGACCAGCCGTGATGGGAGCACCACAGATTGATCGAGAGAGTTGTTGCTTTTCACATTGGAGGGAATTGGAAAGGGTCTTGGACATGTAAACAAATGCACTATACATCCATTGAGTCAGTTTTTTGGAGAAAAAATAATGATCCCGTGACATTTTTTTATTTATCCATCCATCAAATGTTTATTTAATATAGTTAATCCCTACAATTATTAATTACATTTGTATATATCATCCAAGCGATACCAACAAGCATTCTAAAAATAAAGAGGCCACTCTAAATTCAGGTATGTCAGTTTGTTTGTTTGTTTTTTTGGGCCAATAAGTATCTACTAAAATCTTTGAGTCCTATCATTGCGTTAACTTATAATAAATTCCCTTTCCCTGATTGAACACTAAGAATTTTGTTCACTTATTACTTATTAGTTTTCGAGGTTTAAACCAAATTAGGGCGGAATGCAGCAAAAAATTTCAAAAATAATTTCTGATAGTGTTATATAAATTTTGCAATTAGCCATAAATTTTATATATTAATATTCATTTAAATAACATTTGCTCAATAGTTAATTCTACCATTCTTGACTAAACATGCCAAGTATAAATAATAAGTTGAAATATTTTAATCTATCACCTCCAAAAAAAAATTGTTTACATTATTTGTCAGAAGTTTAAGGTCACATTAATTGCTAAAAGCATTAAGAATCTTTATGTAAGACAAAACTTTGGTGAATATTACTTGAATATTTTTTTTATGATAGAGAAAAAATTTATTTCAGAACGTAATCTGAATTATTTCTGGCTTTTCAGAAATATATATATATATATATATTTAATAAACTGGTGAAAACCAAACACATGTTATAGAGCGAAAGGAATGGGGTTTTTAAATTCCAAATTTGCACCACCTACTAGAAAGCATGAGGAACGTGAAGCAAGTGGCCTTCCAAAATGGATTCGCCGCCGTAAATGATCCAAACATCCAAACGAGGAAATTCAAATTTCACTATTTCAGAGAGTGAATTCGATCAAAGAAGACGACAAGTACAGTATAGGTGCGAGTTTCATGGCTTACGTCCTTTCCCTATCTCACCAAATTAACTTTTTGATTTCTTTGCTTCAAAGCGAAGCTCCGATTCTCCTTCAAGCCTTTCTGCAAATCTTCCATCCTCACATCACCCACCCCAACCACCTCCTCTGTAACCGTCCTCCGTCCTTCACCGCCTCGTTTTCCACGCTCTCCCATTTGCAGATCCCGTTCACAATTTCGCATCCCATCACCCACTCCGGCTCCGACGGATTATAAATGTACACTGAATCCCCCGTTGTCGACATCGATATTGACGACACCAATCCTCCTTCCCCCTTCACCTTCTTCACCATTTCCTTCGGCATCTCGCACATTTCCTCGCACCGCAGCTTCGATTCCGGTCCCCATTCGCCTCTCACTTCCCACAATTTCACGCTCTTCACTTCCGCCCTTCCCCTACCAGCCCGCCACGATTACGCGGTCGCGCAGTGTTCCATTGACGATGGAATAGACGCTCTGGTCAGGTCGGAGGTCGTAGGGTCCTTGCCAAGTGTTCGTCTCGGGATGGAAAGTGTGTGTGACGCCGGAGATTTTCTCCGTCACGTGCATCCTGTGCCCCACGACGGCGACGGACAGCCACGTGGAGGTCGCGGAACCCTTCAGAATCGCTGGCATGGACTCGCAAGTGTCCCAGGTTCGCCTCCGCAAATCGTAGATCTCCACCGCGAAGGGTCGTCCTCGAACTCGCACACTCCGCCAGCTACGACGATGTGGTGACCCACGAGGGCGACAATTGGATCCGTTCGACACACGCGCGGGGCGTCGGCGTGGTGCCAGGTGAGATGGATGGGGTCGAGAGGAGAAGGCGAGGGCGGTAGAGGAGAGCATGTAGAGGAGCGAAGAGTGTGATGATCTGAGGGAGGCGACAGTGGGCCTGACGGCTGAGGGCTCGCGCATCTGAACCCACGCGCGAGAGCGAGGGTCGTAAGCGTGCGTGTTGATCACGTGCGGGGCTCTGCTAGTATGTGTGTAGACCATGAGCAGGGTTTGATGGGGTTAGGTGAGCGAGGGAGGAGGAGACGGCGCGATTCCAGGATTTTGACACTTGGAGGACGGGGACGAGGTCGATGAGTGGCACATGAGAGAGTATGGACTCTAAGATATCGCCATGGATAGGAGCTTCTATACTAATTCATTATAAATTACTTTTTTATAATTAATTAATTCACAACCTACAAGCAATGTCAATTAAACTTTAAATTTTTAAAACTTTTCACATGTTTTTATTTATATCTTCATTAAATATCTTATATAAAAATTTTTGATAATATTAATTAAATTTCACTGCATAATTTTTTTAAAAAGAGTATAAATAAAATAGGAATATCATTAAAAAATAATATAAAATTATCTAATATCTTTTCTTTTAGATTATGTAAGATTTTTTAAAAATATCTTTATCATGATTTAAAGGGAGTAACACATATCAAACTAGTCAAAACAGTTCAGCTTGAGGTCCACTCAAAGCCAAATTGGTCTTAATTGAAATAATTTAATTTAATTTAATTTATATACATAAAAATATTCATACCTAAATGTGAAAAAAAAATTAATATGTAAATAAAAATCATTAGTTATGATCAAATAACTCAACACGAATCTTCTCATAATTTTTAAATTTATTAAATATATTATTAAAATAAATCTCTTGCAACGGATCGAGTTAACCCACCGAGTTATCCTCGAGTTGATCATGTTAATATACAAGTTAGCATTACTACAAGTTGGATCATAAATTCAAGTTTCAACAGGCAACTTTTAATTCTTTTTTACAATTATTGCAATTTTTAATTCTCGAGAGATATTGGCAATGTCAATGTATGAATTTAAGACATAAACGTTCGAGCAAATTACATTACAATGTACAAAAGACATGTTAGTGATTACTACCAACTAAACATTTAGACTTAGGAGTTGTTAGAAGAATCAAAATACATTTGCGCAGCATGCAATGAATGTGAATTTAAATGAATTCACAACGATCGTTACTTGCTTTATATCTGTTTGTAATAATTAAATTTAAATGAATTAATAAATGTAACGTGTATTTGTCAAATGGATGTCAATAGGGTACATGAAATTCATTAGTAGGTAGTTTAAAGCTTTTTCATTAAACTTAAGAAAAAGGTAATATAGTAAACCATATTCAAGTAAATGCAATAGGAATGAACCTGTAGTTTGGTCATTTGGTATACTGGGTTAGGTAAATGTTTTATATATTTTATCTAACAAAAAGTGTTTTTAAACCCTAAACTTTAATTTAGGGCTTTAAGGCTTTGCCGACATTGTTACACCTGTACTTTTTTATTTTCATAATATCTTTTTCGTTTTTTAATAGTTTCCTGTTTCCTGTTCCTTTTTTTAAGTAATTATGTAATAAAAATAGAAAACTTACAAAATCAAAATCTCATCAGCATTTATTTATTTTTAAATAGATTAATAGTTATTCAATGGATTTTTAATATTAAAAATTGTATATTTTTCAAACCCATGTATTTGTTAAAAAACTTTTTTATTTCTTCTTTTGAAGACAACGCAAAGGAATAACATATAATTTAAATTCTTCATATTTTATAAAAGTAAATAGGTGACTGCATGTGATAACGAGTTTAAAAAAAATTAATTGTTGTAAAAATATAAAAAAATCACACAAGGCCATATTTTTATTATTATTTTTTGATTGAGTATGTGCATGCTTTAATATAAAATATTTAAACCCCCATATAAATATTCAGGCAGAGAAAAAAAGCCTATATATAACATTCTATTTCGTGTCGGTTTACCTGTGCGCTAATAAAACATAACTTTAAATTTTGACATTTTGATTGAATTTTGTTAGAAGTTCTAATATTTTTTTATATTTTAGGTCTTTAAATTTTTTTTTAATGTTCGAGATCCTTATAATACTACTCAAGAAAAACTTAGAATACAAAAATAAAAAAAGTACAAAGATTGATAATAAAACTTGAATAAAATATAAAAATTTAAAATTATATTTTTCTGTTTATTTCACTAAACATGGATGGGTTGACATATTTGTGAATAGTGTTTTTTAATTATTTGTTTTTTTTTGGTACTTTAAATCTAGCCCACAATTCTTTGACACGAGTACATACGTTGAATGCGTTCAAAATTCATGAAAAATGTGTAAAATTTGTGCTTTTAATTTGAAAATTTTGTGTTCAAAATTAACGATCATGAACATGTTGATTGTTTGAAGTTGTCTTATTAAAATAATGAGTATTAACACGCACGCACACTCGCACAATAGTAAGATCGATTACACTGGTTGGTGATTTTACCTATGAAATAACTCTTCAGGGAGGAGCAATGACGATGAGTGCGTTCCTTCATTCCTCTTTGGCATGAAACCCAATTATATTTTTGTTAAGTTCTAAAAACATTCTTTCAGTTGCGCCAAGCTTTTCAAAAAGTCTTATTGTACAATTTATTTTTTGAACTTTTTTTTGTAATCATATTTAACAATTTAAGCATCTGGGATGCATATAAAACTATGAGACAAATTGCCATTTTCATTGTGTTATCTTCATACATTTATAATCTGTTTCATGATCTCTGGGAAATTATCCCTCTTTGATTTCTTTGCTGTCAGAAAATAGAATGATAGTGTTTGATAGCCTATATACTGAAAGCACGTTAGTATTTCTCGGGCCATTCCTATGTAATGTACAACTAATCATTTCTTTAATTCAGATTTAGTTAAGATGTGATTGGAATTTGGAATAATGGAGCATCATAAAGGAGCTATTAGTGTGAGTTTATATTTATGCAGCGGGGTTTTTAGTTAAAGCTATATTGTTATTTTGGAATTTTGGATTGTATTTTTTATTTGGATTTGAATTTTTTATTTATGTATTGAAAATCATTATTTTTACTGTTAGGTGAAGAAACAGTACTGAAATTACAAAAAAAATAACTCTTCAGGGAGGAGCAATGACGATGTGAGTGCGTTCCTTCATTCCTCTTTGGCATGAAACCCAATTATATTTTTGTTAAGTTCTAAAAACATTCTTTCAGTTGCGCCAAGCTTTCAAAAAAAGTCTTATTGTACAATTTAGTTTTTGAACTTTTTTTTGTAAATCATATTTAACAATTTAAGCATCTGGGATGCATATTAAAACTATGAGACAAATTGCCATTTTCATTGTGTTTATCTTTCATACATTATAATCTGTTTCATGATCTCTGGGATCAAATTATCCCTCTTTGTTCTTTGCTGTCAGAAAATAGAATGATAGTGTTTGATAGCCTATATACTGAAAGCACGTTAGTATTTCTCGGGCCATTCCTATGTAATGTACAACTAATCATTCTTTAATTCAGATTTAGTTAAGATGTGATTGGAATTTGGAATAATGGAGCATCATAAAGGAGCTATTAGTGTGAGTTTATATTTATGCAGCCGGGGTTTTTAGTTAAAGCTTATTGTTATTTTGGAATTTTGGATTGTATTTTTTATTTGGATTTGAATTTATTTATTTATGTATTGAAAATCATTATTTTAATACTGTTAGGTGAAGAAACAGTACTGAAATTACAAAAAAAAATGTTGTAATTTAGATATTCAAGTGGCTTGAAATTAAAAGAATTTGATTTAATTGATTTGACTATTAAGTTTTTAACAAAATTTGGGCTTCTATGGGTCAAGTTTATTAGGCCGAATGAACCGGACTTGCCTAAATGATCAACCGTATCAGAGAGATTATCTTAAAAATAAAATCAGGTGGTGAATGATGGTCTCCATAATGATGTTGGCACAACAACCAACAAACTAACCCCTCAATGAATTGTAATATAATATCCATGAGGCATGAGAACTGTTAGTGGCACGCTGATGATGAGATGATTAAACATCTAGAAAGTCGGCAATCAAATTAAAAGGAAAAAAAAACTCCTAAAGTCATGCCCGATCCATCTTCAAATTAAATGAATTTTAATCAAATTACACAATTTAAGAAAATTAATTTATTCTAATAATTATATTTTAAATAAGAGTAAAAATCTATTGTGATTAGTGCTTTACTTTATTTTCTTTAATTAATGATACTCATTTAATAAAGTGGTTAATAAGAGTAATATGAAAAGATGTTTGAATTGCATGGCAAATTTTGTTGCTTTTGCTTGTAAAAAAATTTTTTTTTTCAGTTAAAGTCTACCACAGAGACTTGATTTCATATGAATCCAAAAATTTTAAAATTTTAATTCAGAAAAAAAATCAAAAGAATTTTAATATCAAAAGATTAAAATACTCTTCACTTATTATACAGAATCACTAATTGTTACTTTTTTATTGCACTTGTTAACTAACCAATATATTATAAATTATATTTATTTATCAGACAATAATAATATTAGTTATTAATTTACTAATTTTACTTGTTAATTTACTATCAAGACCTGTCAGTAATTATAATTTATGTTAGTAAATTATAAGACCTATTAGTAATTACAACTAATGTTAGAAAATTATCAAATAAAGTTAGTTTTAACAACTAATATTGTTACTTGTAATCGAACAACCAAATTAAATTTTATATAATTATATTGATTCACAATAAATGCGTGAGGGGGGGGGGGGGAGGAAAGAGAGGGAGAGAAGAAATAGTTTTGTTCTTAAATTGATGTGTTGAATAACGAGGGAATTAGTTTTCACACTTCCCCATTATATCTCCCATGCATACATATATATCTTCCAATGTGCATGGTGACAATTCACAAAATGGTTCCCTCCCACAATCCAAAAATAAAGAGGGAATACATGGCACTTGGATGCGCGGCCATAAGTATGCAAGGATCCTGTTGGGATTAATATTCAGTTAAGTCACCTTAAGCTTATATTTTGGGCTAGAACTTTATCCATCAAAGTTTGATAATCCACATCACACACACACGCACCCATGGTATCGTGATGCAATCATGTTTCACGTGATCATTTTTTTTTTAATAGTAAAAGAAGC